CGGAGCAACTGACCGGGCATCTCCTCATTGTGGGTCATGCGCACGCCCCAACCCCAAAGATGTGGGGGTACGGGCATGCTCCTCTAATCGGCTGGCATGCCCTGCCATGCTTGGAGCAGGAGGGTGTGAAGCCAACGATGCCTCCGAAGGGCGCAGCGACCGCACCCACTTTGCCTCTCGCTCGACGGTGGCGTTCGAGCTCACGGCATGCTTCCTTAACGTGGGAACATCGCCGCGCCTCTCCGTATCCCACCCACCACTGGCAAACATGGCCGTAGGCTCATGACGCTCTATTGAGGTCACAACAATGCCCTGGTCTCCTTCATCCTTGGAGGTGCTTGCGTCGTCACCCATCTTCGTGGGCTCCTCCGACTCAAGCTCCGCCTCCATGTCGCTCTGGTTTTCACCGGCCCACACCCATCGGGCGATCTCCTTCTCCTTCTCATGCCTCCTCCGAGCCTTCTCAGCTCTCTTCTTCTTCTTGGCAACCATTGCCTCCTTCAGGGTAGCTTGCCAAGCCACGCCCTCTGGCCCCCTTGAAAGATGCGGCCGGGATTTGTAACTGGTGAGTCCCTACAAAACAGACAACTCAAAGTCAAAACAAGGGAGAACAAGAGAAAAAAGGTCATGAAATAAGAAGAGGGGAGCGTACCAGATTGGACAGCTTCACAGCGTGGAGAGGTCCAGGCTTTCCTTCAAGGTACTCTTTGTCCCTCAGTTGCAACACCCAGTCGAGTCAGCTCTAGACTTCATCCTTCGCCAACTCCTCCGGCGATGCGCGGTCGGGATCCTTTGGGCCGGAGTAGGCCCACATTGGCCGCCTCCTCTCTGCCAGCAGGGTGACTCGACGGTGGAAGAAGGTGTGGAACACCCGTAGCCCTTCGAGGCTGTGCTGCACCAGCTTTTGGAGCTCCACCTCAATGACCTCCAGCTTGTCCTACTGACTGGAGGGACCCCACGACCACCTCTCCCGCCTCTCTGGTCTTCTTCTGGTAAACGACGGGAATGGCACCTCCGCTAGGTTCCTGATGTAGAACCACTCTCCATGCCACCCCCGATTGGAGTCACAAGGGGAGTACGTGGGGTAGGAGCCCGACGGCCTCGGCTTCTTCTACAAGGCGAAGCCCCCAACCGGTGCGGTTCGGGGTGGCTTCCCCTCTTACAAGGCTCGCCCGGTGAAGATCTGCCGGAAGAGGTCCATGTGTGGCTCCATCTTGAGGAAGGCCTCACAGACGGTGATGAAACCAGCAACATGCAGCACCCCAGTTGGATTGAGGTGCTGCAGCTCTAGGCCCCACTCATTGAGGAGCCCACGCAAGAACCAGTGCATGGGATATCCTAGCCCACGCTCGTGGAAGGCAAGGAAGGAGACAACCTCGTCGGCCCGAGGTCGCGGAATAGCTTCCCTTGGCGTAGGAGCCCTCTAGTGCGCCACCTCCTTCGGTGGGAGCAGCCCCTTCTCGGCGAAGGCTGCCAGCACCGCCTCGTCTATGTTGGATGGCCTCTAGTTCGACATTGCGCTCTGGATTCATGAACAAATATGTGAGTTCTCCTCTCCCTCGCTCTACCGTCTCTCTCCTAGAAACCACCGCAGCGCACGAACATGCTTGGTGAGAAGGAAGAAGGAGGAGAGGCGACAGATGGAGAAAGGCGAAGGAATGGGACAAAAACCCTCTCCCTTCCCCTATTTAATGTGGATAGGCATGCGGTGGGACATGTCCTGACTGATGGGACACACCCTGCCCAATAAAACATCACCCAATTAAAACAGGACATGGCCTAGGTAGGGCCGACCACTACCACAACCCAGGGGCAGGAAACAAGGTGCAACCACATGCAAACAACCCTTCGCCTTCTCGGGCAGGGTTTGGAAGGGCCCACCAATAGGATCTCTGTCAAGGAAAGACCAACGGGCTACCTGAGTCGATCGGACGGCTCAGGCGACTGTCGAGAGACAGGTAAGGAGCAGTGGGATGCCCCATGCGGGCTACGCCGACTCCGTCACAAATGACAGACACGGACCCATTCGGACATATCCGATAAGGGCTCCTCAAACCCACCACTCGAGTCATCAAGGTATCTTTACCAAACCTTCATTCTTTATTTTATTTTATTTTCTAATGCATAATCATTCATTCATCCTTCCTCATACGCGTATTCATTCATCACATACATCCAAAGCATTGCATTTGCAATTAATACATCACAACGCTTCGTGTTGCGTCACGAAGCGGTAGTTGCCTCATTCAACATGAGCAACGACCGACCGAGGGTCAAAGGCCGGCCCACGATGGGCTCGAGGCCGCCTCGCGTCAAACAGAGCAGGGGAGAAAACGCAGATGAGCCCTAGCGGCCCTCGCCTGATATGCTCAGAAGCAGACAGGGTCATCTCGACCTTCTCGTTCGATCCTAACCTCGAGCCATGCCCACAGAATCTCCATCGAGGGGACCAGCGGGCCACCTCAGTCGGTCTCTGGAATGAATCAGGCATCTGCTGGGAGGTGGGTTAAGGAGCAGTGGAATGCCACATGAGGGCTACGCCGACCCCGTTACAAATGACGGATCCGGATTCCGCTCGAACGTGCCCGTTAGTGAGCTCACCGAGCGCGTTACTCAAGCCATCGAGGCAAGTGATGTTAGCTCAGCCCCTCTGGTTGCAGAAACCGCGAACGGGGTAACGTACAGAACTAGACCAACCCCTACCAAACTCAACGGGGCTCAGGGGCTCGGGTAGCACGACGCCGACTCAGGAAACCAAACGACCGGCAGAAACACAGGAGTCTACGGCCCCAGGAAAGAGTACCAAGATACTCAGCCTCCAACCGACTCACTAGTCGGACGTAGGCTCGGGGGCTACACCCACCGGGTGCGCTCGCGTGCACCCGCTGGCAAGTCAAAAAATCCCCCAGACGATTCTACCCAAATCGCCTGGGGGATCAGGGGCTCCTGTCGGGTTCATAAACCTGGGGTCCCTAATTGGCCCGCTTCCTGGCAAAAAGCTTGGCCCAGCAAACGGCATTACAAAACGACGCGCAACTCTTGGGCCGGCCTAGATACCTAACGATAGGTCGGAAGAGCGATCCAGTCTCCGACCAGAAGGCCTGTCCAAGGAGCGGACGATGCTCGCTTTCGACTCCGACCCGCTTTTCCGACCGGAAGGCCTGTCGAGGAGGGGACGACGCTCGCTTCTGACTTCGACCCACTTCTCCGACCGGGAATACACCGAACCTCTACTTACAGCTCTTCTCCAACCGTCGTGGTCGGAGCTGATTGGGAACGATCGACCAGGGACACCTACTCGGTGAGGACCCAAATATCAGGCAGAACAGATAAAGCAAGGCGCTCAAGTCAACCGCAATACCAAGGACCGTACCCTGCACACCTGCAGGACAGTACTGCTAGGCCATGCCAGAAGGGTGCTTTCCAACCTTTCAGACATGTCAGAACACGAATAGTGTTGTGGGTGCCGACATTTGTCCTATAGTATGGTAGGCGCCGACATTTGCCATGCTAGAAGAACACGATGGAGCCCGCCACATGCATCTGGGCGTCAACAGTATTGTGGACACCGACAAACTGTCTTGTACCCGATGGCGTGGGCAACAAGACTAGGAAACACACACACTCTCTCTCTCCTAGACTTGTAAGGGGACGCGCTCTCTCCTAAAAGAACGATGATTCATTCTGACTCTCTCTCGTAGACATTCTGAACACTCGTGCAGTCCACGGCTCTAGAATTCAAAAGTTACACGGAGCATACTTTTCAATACTTAGCGCACGTAGGAGCTTCCATCACTCTTGGCCCTTCGGTCCAGAGCCCGACCGGACGTCTAACACCCCTTTTTATTCCCACTCGTTTCTAACCCCACAACAAACTTCGAGCACCTGGGCTCAGGAATAAAGTCACCGACCGACTAAAGCTAGACGTAGGGCACGTTGCCTGAACTAGTATAAACCCTGTGTCATTGAGTGTTAGGCCACATCCGATCACAACATACGGTAAAACTACAAATATTTACTTGTTGGTCACTTTTCGCACCGACAGATCATGTATTCTAAATAAAAGGCATTCAATCTGCAATTGGGAATCCAACAAGGATAGATTACCTGAGACGCATTTCCCTTCGTACGGCGCCCAAACAGCGCTGCTGCATTTCACTGCGTACGGCGCCCAGTGAAGCGCGGCGACCTGGGTCGTAGTAGAAACGTCGACCTCACCGTGATCCCGTCGCAAGCGCTGGAGTGGAGGAAGCACCATAAACCAAGACGTCCCGCCGTCGCTATCCTTGCGGCGGCGCATCCCCTCATGGCGTCCTGCCATGGCTATGCACGCCGCCTCTACTCCTTGGCCCAGCACGCCCCGCCTCCGCCTTGGGCCGCGGATGTCGCCTCCGCCGCCGCTCCTTGGGGCTGTAGCAATCGCCTTTCATGCCAGTGATGAAATCGATCGGATCTAGGAGCTAGTGTATCGGCGTTTAAAAGGGAGGCGAGGATTCGCATCTCACATTGCGTGCGATGGGGGTACCGTAGTGCTGACAACCGGCGATTGGGGGCCCCGCATGGCTCCGAGCCCACGCGCCGCGGCGGCGCCCATAGTTGCCCGGTGATTGCGTGTGCGGGAGACGTGGGGTCGCACGACTGATCGTCCTGCCAGGTAGATGTTGACTGTAGGAATTTTTTTAGTTGTAGAGATATTTAATATTGCATGTATATGTCCAAACATTCGGTAGGATATGTAGTAAACTTTAGAGGGAACTAAACAAAGCCTACATTTGCGAATCTTTTTCAACTAACTTCTCTTTAGTCAATGGAACACAAGGACTTCTTTTTGGTTGAGATGAAAATGTATTGCGCACTACAGTGAAGGAGATCGCCGCCCCACTTGCATCCCTGATGATGAGCCAGTATTGCAGTTTAAATACTCCTACTAAACAGCAAAAGAATAGGAAAATTACACATTAATCGTCAACCTCTACTTCATGCCTGGCAGCCACTTTGATCTACTGCGTGGTGACGGACTTGTACACTTGTTGCATGGCCTCTCTGAACCTGTCGATGTCCAGAGTGACGTTCTGGCCCTCGAGGAACGTATCCCAAAGTTTACCGGTGCGCTCTATGGAGATTGGGTCCGTAAACACCGGATGGTCCCTGGGGTACTTGTACTTGAGCGTGGTCTCCTCCGCATTCACCTCGTATTCGACGTAGCGCAGTCCCATGTCCGGCACCGGGTCGCCGAAGTCGAACCGGCACGGGTACTTCAAGTTTCCCCACGGGATGATCTGCACTATGGTGCCGTTGTGCGGCAGGAACACCATGTTGGTGAGCCCAGCGCCGTGCACGCCCACCATCACGTCGCACGAGTTCACCACCGCCGCTATCTTGGCCATGTCGCGGACGTCCTCCGGACCCGCAGCGACGACCTGGAAGCCGAGATCCGCAACGGCGGCGATGGCATCGGCTTCGTTCGTCACAGCCCTCGAGTGGCGCCGCAGAACAAAGACGAGCCGAGGCTTGTGTCCACTGCTCCTGCTTACGGGTGTCGCCCATGCCCGCCGTAGCGAGAAGACGTCCCGGAGGAAGTCCCGGAATCCCATCATGGTGTAGCCGTTGCGGGAGAGAGCCGGGTCGAAGCCAAGTATCCTGTGGCTCTCAAGCCCGACGTGCGCCGACGGGAAGCAGCGCACGGCGGTGCCGGCGTCGAAGTCTATGACCGGGTAGATGGATAGTGCGGTCAGGATCGGCCTGAACTTGGCCACCCACTCAGGCTGGTAGTCGGTGACGAGCAGCTGGACGTGGCCGTTGTACTCGCGGGCTGTGATGTAGAGTGGCACAATGAGGTCAGTCATGGCGTGGAAGAAGTTGGTGCCGCAGCCGCCGGTAGAGAAGACCACCGCTGGCACGTCGTGCCTCACCGTGCACTTGGGTGGGATAACGAAGCTGTAAGGCTCTGGCGCGGTGGACCGAATGGTGACCTCCCGAATCCTTGCCATGGTCTCTTGCTCCCACTTTCGCGTGTACGGCCGGATTGTGATGGTCGAGTTGTTTGGGTTGAAGGTGGATGATGAAAGGACGTAGACTGTACCGGCTTTGCCATGGATCCGCAAGTCACCTTCCATTCTGCAGGTGTCCGAGTGACGATTGCTCCAGTTGCAGGTTAGCTTGCTCATTGTCGGTGCTGCCACATCTGCATACCACACAAGACAGATTACAAAATTCTCTAATGCCGGGTTTGGTTCAGGAATTGCAAAATAATCTAATAATGAAATGGGAAGCACTTTTTAAACATTGGTTTCAATTCATGGGATCCAAACATGCCCTAAAAATAATTATTGTTACCATTTTCAGCCAAAATTATTGCATTCATTAGTTGGCAAACTGTGAAAAACATGACAAATAGCCCCTCGTGTAATGCCGAAACAGTAATCAAGCCAAATGGGGAAGGCTAATTGTACCCGAATTTCTCAAAGAACCATCTTTTGCCACGTTTGTCGCAAGAATATGATTTTGTTGGTTGTACTCTGTAGGAAATAAAACTGGATTAATATCACATATATAATGATAAGGGTCAAAGTTTTTGCCATCCCTTCGGAAAAAATAATGATAAGGGTGACGTTCCAACGTAATGCAAACAGAAGACATTGTATATATATGTTAAATAAACATAATATAACTATTTCTTTTTAATTAATAATGAATGCCCTATCTGACGGCTGTGGTTGAAGTGGCGACAACTAGGAAACAGAGTAACAGACTACTGGCTTTCTGCTCACTGCAGATTGAAGTGCGTGAATCCATGGTAGGGATTCGAAAAGATTGCTCAAAATGCGCTGTATGATGGTTAATATAACAGTTGTTTCCTCAATCATTGCCATACATACCTTTTGCAGATTCTGCGTCAAGTGATTGTTGCTGCCGACTTGCACTATCCAAACCTGGAACATATAGGCACCATTATGTGTCAAGCATTTCACATCGAGATGTAGATGAAAGCAGAGAGTTCAGTATACAATCTTATAGCTAACCTAAAGATGAAACTCTCTGAACCATTTCATTTGTTAATTTGTCAAATCCGGTCTCCTTAACTGCAGAGAGCCAAGGTGCAAAGTTTTGTAAGTGCTATAACCTGAGCTGTTCTTATATTCATTAAGGCCTATTGTCAGAAAGCTTGAAATGGTAAATCATACATTTCCTCTAAAAAATGTATCTCAATTTACTCTAAAGTAATAAACAAAAAAATTCCTAGGTGTTCCCTAAACCTTCAACTGTATATATACTGTAAACACTACTGTGGATTTCCGAGAAGATTATGGAGGTTCAGCACAATTAAACTGAGGGCTCTTTGTCAAGTAAAATCAAAGCATAAAAGGCCAAAATGCCACACTGCATTCTTGAAAGAGAGGAGTAGAGCAGCAAAATCACAACTAATGGTAATCAGGAGAGATGAAACAGAGAGGAGCTGATATGAAATTGACTGGTAAGTAGGATGACTTACAGCGCGCAACCTGCGGCAGTAAATTAGTCTTGATCACAGCCAGAACTAGAAGAGGAGGCACAAGGAGCCACAGTGCCGCCCTTCTTCCGCTGCTCCCATGCTGCTGCTTGGTTTTCTCGTGCCGCCTCATCGTCTCGAATAGCTCTTGCACCACACCTCTGAAATGCCTTGCACTAGTACCAGGAGCTAACTCGCAGCTTCTTGAGAACTGCCATTCTTTTATCGCATATCGATCCGTGCTTTGAATTGGCAGCTCAACAATCTAGGGGCTGACTTGCTTGTGCGCACCATTTAATCCCACGCACATGTATGCACGCTAATAGCATTGACGTATAGAAGAGGGAGCTAATTATTAAAAGGGTCACTGCAGAGCGGCGTATTTTTATTCCTAGTTTCAGTGTCTTGGAATACCACCATTAATTTAGCAGCAACCTGAGGCACCGACGATTATTAGCTCTGTTTGGATCGCCCCCCTTCTGAATTCAGGGAGTAATAACTAGTAGATGTCTAATTTTTAGTCCCTTTGAAAATCCAAATAGTTAGGTTAATAGGTGGACTAATTTTTAATCAAATCTTTAACTAGAGTTGTTAGTTCACTAACTCGGCAAACCTAACTAGGACTAACTAGTCTATCAACCTGTCCTTCAGCATGGGCTAGAATTTTAGAAGACAACAATATAAGTTATTGTTTGATAACTGTTACTAATAAAAATATTTATATTAAATTGTACTTTTTCCTCTTTGCTCATTTTCTAACATAATATGCATAATAAATACTTTGTAGCCTTTATACGATCATAATAAACTTAATGACTGATCTATACATTTTTAATTTGTATCTATAGTTTTTTTTTCTTTGCACAACATTCAATATAAATTTAGTTCAAACCTTAGCTTTAATTATGGTGGCTCTTGTTGCAGCTAAAATATTATGATGCTAAATTTTGACTTTTCAAAATTGTATTTTATTAATCGCTAGTTTGCTATAGTTTTATTATTCTCAAGTTAAGTTGAAGTTATTGTGTTTATTCTGTCCCATTAGTAGAGAAACGACTTTTGATTCACTTCGAAATTTGGTTTTAGTACCGGTATTTTTCGTGCCCGGGACTAGAGAAACCTTTAGTCCCGTTTGGTAGCTCCAACAGAGACTAAAGGTCCCTGCCCAACAGCTACTGCGGCAGGCTTTTGCTACAGGGGACCTTTAGTCCCGGTTGGAGCTACTAACTGGGACTAAAAGTTAACTTTTACTCCCGGTTGGTCCCTCCAACCAGGAGTAAAAGTCTACTCCCAGCTGGAGGCTCCGTCCGGGACTAGAAAGAGACCTTTAGTCCCGGTTGCTGTCTTTAACCAGGACTAAAGGTCCCCTCCTATATACCCCTTCTTCCTCCCCGAGCCCGAGCCACTTCGAGTTCAGTGTTCTTGCTTCATCGCCGGTCTCTCTTCTTCCTCATCGTCGATAATCACAAGATTTCTTCGATTCCTCCATCGATTCTTCGGTTCTAAAGGTTACCAACTTTATACTCTCATGTTTCATCAGTAGCATATCTCATTTTGTGGACTAGATATATGTGGTTTTTTATGGTGGATTTTTTTTATTTGTAAGCCATTTAAGCTCAAAATCACTTTAAAATTTGCATATTTGGATGAAGGAAGGTTAAAGTAGTTATTCACAACTAGTATTTAGCTTTCATTTCTAGCATACATAGCACACTTCATGGTTTAGGGATATAAAGAATTTTAGAGTTTTTTAATTTTATTTGTTTATAAAATGAGAAATTTATATTATATTGAAATTGAGTATAGAGAGTAGATGACAACTGCTTCCGGGTCCTCGGCCTCTCATTGGGTTCCAAAGCAACTGAGACCGGACCTCCCTCTCGTTGCATGCGGCAAGTGTGAGGAGAAGATTGTGATGGAGTACCGGGTGAGGAATGAGTGTCCCAACAAGGGCCGTATCATCTACAAGTGTCCGGATCGCAATGTGAGTTATTTTGTCGCATTTGATGATTATGGTTAATTTATACTTATTTTCATGATGATTGTGATTAAAGTTCTAATTTTTTGTTTTAATTTCAGTGGGATGGCACTAGATGTTTAGGCTGGTACTGAGAGGAAGAGTATGTTGAACACATGCAAAACTCTCTTGCACAGGCGGCTACGGCGGCTGATGAGGCAGTGATCCTGCGGAAGAAGCCCATAAATGTTGAACAAACGCATGATCTGTCTGTTTTAGTTGGGATTGGTCGCGAAATCCTTATGTTGCTGAAGTGCATTTTAGCTTTAGTTTTTTTAGTGGTAGTTAGGATTGTCTACATTGTAGCGAGACTTTCATAAATTAATACCTTGTGTGGTGGCATGCATGTCGTATAATTAACTAATTATGTTCTAGGTTTTAATATGGTATGTATGTCATGTAATGCAGATGAGCCGGCATTGGATGTATAATGCTGATCGCCGCTCCCAAGAGTTCATTGAGGGCGTGCATTCTTTATTACGTGTGGCCGAGACAAACAAACGCGATGGTTTCATGTGCTGCCCATGTGTCATATGTAAGAATTTGAAGGAATATGCTAGCTCAAGGAGTCTTCATTCACACTTTTTGAAGTTGGGTTTCATGCCAAACTATATTTGTTGGACGAAGCACGGAGAAACTGGGGTTGTAATGGAAGAAGGTGAAGAAGAACAATGGGACGATGATGACATTATTGCTGAATATGGTGCCTTCAATGATACTGCAATGAGAAAAGCTGAAGAAGAGGTAGGGGCAGAAGATGAGCCCGATGATGATCTTGGTCAGGCCATTCGTGATGCACAAACAGAATGCAAAAGTGAAAAAGAGAAGATCAAGTTCGAGCGCATGCTAGAGGATCACAAGAAATTGCTATACCCAACTTGTGATGCGGGGCAGAAAAAGTTGGGTACCACACTGGAATTGCTGCAATGGAAGGCAAAGAATGGTGTATCTAACAAGGGATTTGGGGAGTTACTGAAAATCTAAAAGAAGATGCTTCTGAAGGATAACGATTGCCCGCCACTACGTACGAAGCAAAATAGGTAGTCTGCCCTTTGGGATTAGAAATCCAGAAGATAGATGCATGTCCTAATGACTGCATCCTCTACCATGGTGAGGAGTACGAGAAGTTAGATGCATGCCTGGTATATCATGCATCGCGGTATAAGATCAGGCGAGATGACCCTAGTGATGTTGAGGGCGAACGTCCCACGAAGAAAATCCCTACTAAGATTATGTGGTATGCTCCTATAATACCACGCTTGAAACGTCTGTTCAGAAACAAAGACCATGCAAAGTTGTTGCGATGGCACAAAGAAAACCATAAGGTAGACAATATGTTGAGACACCCTGCTGATGGGTCCTAGTTTAGAGCAATCGATAGAGAATTCCCGGAGTTTGCAAATGACGCAAGAAACTTAAGGTTTGCTTTAAGTACGGATGGTATGAATCCTTTTGGGGAGCAGAGTAGTAGTCATAGTACTTGGCATGTTACTCTATGTATCTACAACCTTCCTCCCTAGTTATGCATGAAGCGTGATGCCAGTGCTCATCCAAGGCCTAAGGCAACCTAGCAACGACATCGATGTGTACCTGAGGCCACTAGTTGAAGAACATCTACTTTTGTGGAATAGACCAGGTGTACGTGTGTGGGATGAGCACAAACAGGAGCACTTTGACCTACGAGCATTGTTGTTCGTAGCAATCAATGATTGGTCTGCTCTAAGTAATCTTTTAGGACAATCAAACAAGGGATATAATGCATGCACACACTGTTTCGATGACATTAAAGGTATATTCTTGAAAAAATGTCGAAAGGTCATGTACCTTGGCCATCGTCGATTTCTTCCTGTGAATCACCCCCTAAGAAAGAAAGGCAAGCATTTCAAAGGTAAGGTAGACCACCAGACCAAGTCGGGCAACCGAACTAGTGAAGATGTACTCAATATGGTCAAGATGTTAAAGTAGTATTTGGAAAGGCACATGGCAGCGAACCTGTTCCAAACGACGCCGACGGTCATGCACCCATGTGGAAGAAGAAGTCCATATTTTGGGAGCTACCCTATTGGTAAGTCTTAGAGGTCCGTAGCGCGATCGACGTGATGCACCTAACGAAGAATCTTTGTGTGAACCTGCTAGGCTTCATGGGTGTGTATGGGAAGCCTAAGGACACACTTGAAGCACGACAGGACCTGTGGTGTTTGAAAGAACGAGACAACCTGCATCCAGATAAGACAGATGATGGACGCCATTACTTAAGTCCTGCCAGCTACACTCTTAGCAAAGAAGAGAAGGAAAGCATGTTTGAATGCCTAGCAAGCATCAAGGTACCATCTAGATTCTCCTCGAATATAAAGGGTATAATAAATGTGCTAGAGAAGAAATTCCTAAACTTAAAGTCCCATGACTGCCACGTGCTCATGATGCAATTGCTTCCAGTTGCATTAAGAGGAATTCTACCTCTAAATGTACGTCTAGCCACCGTGAAGCTATGTGCATTCCTCAATGCAATTTCTCAGAAGACAATCGATCTAATGGATCTAGCTAAACTACAGAATGATGTGGTTCAATGTCTTGTCAGCTTTGAGTTGGTGTTCCCTCCTTCCTTCTTTAATATCATGACACACCTCCTAGTTCACCTGGTCAAGGAGATTAGCATTCTCGATCCTGTGTTCCTGCACAACATGTTCCCCTTTGAGAGGTTCATGGGAGGCCTAAAGAAATATGTTCATAACCATGCTCAGCCAGAAGGAAGCATCACCAAGGGCTATGGAACAAAGGAGGTCATTGAGTTTTATGTTGACTTTATTCCCGACCTTGACCCGATTGGTGTTCCTGAATCACGACACGAGGGGAGACTAAGTGGAAAGGGGACACTAGGGAAGAAACCATATATTGGTACGTAGGACAATTATTTTAATAAAGCACACTACACAGTTCTGCAAAAGTCCTCCTTGGTGGATCCGTATATCGAGACACATAAAGAGTTGCTCCTATCTGAGTTTCCAAGGAAGTCTGAAGCTTAGATTACGCATCAGCACATGGAAACTTTCAGCGACTGGTTGCGAAAAGAATGTCAAGGTGATGAGAGTATTGATGAGCAACTATATTTGTTGGCT